CACACACACACACACACACACACACACACACACACACACACACACACACACACACACACACACACACACACACACACACACACACACACACACACACACACACACACACACACACACACACACACACACACACACACACACACACACACACACACACACACACACACACACACACACACACACACACACACACACACACACACACACACACACACACACACACACACACACACACACACACACACACACACACACACACACACACACACATTCTGTTCTCTCTATCCACGTGATTGCGAGGAGAATATCCTCTGTATTTATTGTATATCCCCACCTCTCCGTGTTTGCCAATCATAGCATAACACAATCATTGATCCTCTTTCGAGTAGAACTTTCAAATAAAATCGATGACACACAGATATAAAGACACGCGATCCGTTCTACACGTTGCGGAGCTTCATGTAATTAAGATGATTGTAAGGTTGATGAGAAAGTTTAATGTAGAAAAGGGACAATAGCTCGATAAAATCCTTCGGATACGGAGATTTTCTCTAAACAATGACTAATGCCGATACGTTTCGCGCGATTCTATTGCCGATATTTCCCCAATATATATCGATATTGCGTTACTATTTCCCCGACGAGATGACGAAAAAGGCGATATCCAGTTTTCCGGCGAAAATACCAGGCAAAAATCAGTAACTTATCTAGGATGGAAATGGCGAACGTGTCAGTACTTTTCAGTCAATTATTGGTTTTCCGAGCATCGATATTACGTTGCAATAACTAGTTACACGTCGAACGATCGCTCGTCCTTGCGACGATGGTACACGTCGCGCATTTGACGTTTTCCCCGAGGAAAAGTATGTGCCGGTGAGAACATGAATCTCGTCGCGAAAACTCCGAACAGAGAGGCCGTGATAAAAATATCTGCGCCGTGCGGCCAAAATATTTTTAGCGAACCGATAATTACATTTTGCTTTTCTTTATATACCGACGTGTGCATGCGTGTATGTATATATGTGATAAGAGAGGAACTCTGATTAGTTCCAGACGGAACTACTAGGGATTATTTCAATTCAGACGTTGAACGCGTATGTTTTGTATAACATGCACCAACATAAATAAGTCCTCTCTATTCTGCATCAATAATAATACACATTGATTCGTTAATCAACAACGTCCCTCCATACGTAGCATTTATATATTAAAATAAACGCTGCATTATGTGGTTTACTCTGCAGACATTCGCGTCATTCTCGCGAGAACTATCTAGCGCTTGCCGAAGTGTATCTCTTTTTCTTTCTTTCTTTCTTTCTCCTTTCTTTTTTTCACTTCTCCTTTGATACGTGGGCGATACGAATTAACGCGCGTCTGGAAATAACTATTTATTTTCACTGGCACGTTACGCTCGAGAGCGGCACACGTGCCAATTAGTAGTGAGTCGGACGAGCCAAACGAACATGTTTAAGCTAGATAGAGCTACTCTCATTTGTCATTATCGGGATATAAATATTTAACGTCTGTCGATGCTTCTTGCGTTTCCTCGAAGTCTCGCAATTTCCCTTAGAGGCATGTAGATTTCCGCGATGTTGTGTGCACAAGAGCATACTGTGTGCCGCGTGCAAAGTCTCTCGGCGCGATTATCTATTACAGTCATTAAGGAGCTGCGGTAATTCTCCGGATGACGTAGATTCGCTTTCGGTATGCCGTCGGCTAGTTTTCCTCCTGCCGCAGTAAAACCACGCGACACTCGCGTGAGAGACACTACGTCTCGCTTAATACCCGCGGTGTATCGTGTATACGTCAGATAAAATCCTCGCTGATAAAATCTTTCGTGATTTCTTTCGCAACGAGGGAGGAATAGGTCTTCGCCACTGCCTGACAATTGGTTCTTCATATCCGTTGAATTATCACGATAAATCGGCAACGTATTCGAGCACGGTTACTTTATTCGTTTTCACTTGGCGTGACAACTTAAAAACAAAATCCAAACATTGATTTTGATCGGAAACGGTGCTACGGAGACGTGTTTATCGCGTCTATAATGTTTTGAATTCTGTTCGTATCCGAATTTATATATATATATATATATACACACTCATAAGTTATATTAAGACTATTATCAGTATTTGTTAGTTATGACTGATATCTCAAATTCCAGGAGTGGCAACGGTCTCGTCGGAGAGTGTCGAAGCTGGCGCGTGGGGCGGCGGAGTCAGCGGTGGTCTGGCTCTGGTTCCGGTGGTAGCGGCGGAAGCGGAAGCCGCGGCAGTAGCGATAGCAGGAGGAGGCGGCGAGGAGGTGGGGCCGGGAGAGGCTGGTGGAAGCCGCGACTTCGATAGGAAGAGGCGCGATCTTCATCGTCATCCTCATTCTCATCGTGATTTTCATCCTCTTTTATCTCTTCTTCCTCTTCGTCCCGTTCTACCCTTGCACAGGGGTGGTGAACTTGGAAGCGGCCGTCGGCCACCGGAAGTACTGTCGACGGCGTGACACCAGTCTCGCGACCAACTTCCTCGCGCAAGAAGACGTCGTAAATAAGAATCATCCATCCGTCATCATCGCAGAAATTACATTCTAAGCCCTCCCGACAAGAGGAGACAGTGCCCTGTCATCCTCCCTCTCCTCCGTCGCGCGCGACTCACCAGTACCTCGGCCCCACTAACGAGTGCTCGTAAGCCTCGCGCGTCATCAGCCAGACACCATGAACGAGCTCGACAGCCTTCGTCAGGAGTCGGAGACGCTGAAGAATGCCATTCGGGTAAGTACCCATTTGCCTGCCTCGAGATTATTGTTTTTCTCTGTTATCTTGACTTCAGTCGAGAGGTTCGTGCACTTAAAATGTTCGGAGGAGTCATGTGGAAAAGCTCCATGAGTTTATAGCTTCGTCAGAGATACTTTATTTTTTATTGAAGTGACGAGCACGTTACTCCGTTACGTCGTTATGTTATCAAATATATGAATATATTCATATTTGCCGAAGAAAAAGATCGATCAGATCTCCTGCGACAAACTGTGATATACGAATATGAAGCAGATCCATCGAAAATGCAGTAAAGCAACCTACCGACTCGAGTTTACAATATTTAATACTATCAACTTCTGGACTCGATTTTCTATTTTCCATTTGCAAAATCTGTGTGCAAGTAGTTCTTATCCTCCTCTCGTGCCGGATCCTACGTCCGTTCTTCTCTCCTCCGGCTTTCACTGTTCTCGGCATTAGAGCAGGTGAATCGTCAATTTTTGCCGATGAAAGATTCTCGTCTATGGCGAATAGCTTTTCTGTATAGTTGTGAGGATATGGAGTGGTGGTGGTAGTGTGGTGGTGGTAGGGCGCGGCATAACCGTCGCTTCTCTGATCAATACGCCACCATCCCTCTCTCTCTCACACTCCATGTCTTGTTTCTTCTCTCGATGTATTCGTCTCTCTTTCTTCTCTCTGCCCTCCTCCCTTTCCCTCTGTACATGTATAAAATGCACGCGCTCTCACGGTATGCACGGAAATATGCACTTACGACAAAAGGAACACGCTATCGCCCTTGTTTGCTAATTGTTTATGACGCGTGCGTCTCTCTTTCCCCTTTCCTTCTTTTTTCTCTTTCTTTTTGTACCGTTGTTTATCAAATAAAATTGCTAATATGTATTATAATAACAAATCTGCATACTATGAATGATAAATGTTTATATTTAATCTATAGTGCAACTTTTTGTAATTAATTGATTTATTGATGACTTTCATATTTTTTGCTAATGCGAATTAATTTATTTTATATTCTTCCATCGTGAAATAGATATTATCGTTGATGCGATGAATTCTGGTAAAAAAATCAATTACATAGAGACATGAACTGCATACGCGAACTTACGACGTAATTTTCTTCTAGAAATTATTTAATAATGATGTCTTCTTTAGTATAACGTGTATAAAAGAGCTACACGCTAGTGTTGGATCTTTAAGTACCACTTAAGTGGTACTTTAAGTACCACTGCATTATGACCCGATCTTAAAGGTCAACTCGAAAGTAAAATTGTGGCATAAGAGACACACATCGCCCACAATTTACAGGAATCTTTATTCCCGTCCTAAAAACCTTTTTTCTCTTTTTCCCTTTTAAATTTATGGGAGTCTCTAGCGTTCTGTTTATTTTAGCGTCGCGAGCGTCTTTTGACCTTTCGCGATGCCGTATATATGCACGGATGTGATATTAAACAAAATTTTCTCGTGAAATTTATTAAATTTTCACGATGCCGCACACATTCGCTGTCGACACATCTTTAAAATGTTACTTTAAAGTGACACGCGAAATTTCGCAGCTTCAATTATCGCTGAATACACGACAATGCAGATAAGATTTTTCGTGATGTGTTATATGGCCGACGGCAATGAGCTGCAATTGCATACAATACGACGGATCTCTTTCTTATCGCGTTATCACGGACGCACCATGATGCACATTTGAGGATCGAATGCATAATTAAGAAATATGCGTCTATCTCATTCCGCAGGATGCCAGGAAAGCAGCATGCGACACGACCTTGGTCCAGGCCACGTCGGGCATGGAACCTATCGGTCGCATACAAATGCGCACGAGACGTACGCTTCGCGGTCACTTAGCTAAGATTTACGCGATGCACTGGGGAAGCGACTCCAGGTATGACATGAGACGCCAATATCCGCAAATATTGGCGTCTTAACGTAAATTTGAGGTATTACTGATGATCTTTGTGATGGTAGAACTCACTGATGAAAAGTAGCATAGATGTTCCACGACTATCAAATGGATATATCTCTTAGATGAAGCTTCGAAGAGAGAGATTCTCAAAAGTTATTTGAAACGATATCACAAAATAGAGAGAAAGCTTTTTTTTCATATCTCCGCACAACAGGACTTTCGTCAGCGTATTTTTCGTTTCTCCTATATAGGAATCTAGTCTCCGCATCGCAAGATGGCAAACTGATTGTCTGGGACAGTTATACCACCAATAAGGTTCACGCGATCCCATTACGGTCGTCATGGGTAATGACTTGTGCGTACGCGCCCTCGGGTAGTTACGTGGCGTGCGGTGGGCTGGACAATATTTGTTCCATCTATAGCCTTAAAACTAGGGAAGGTAATGTGCGAGTGAGCAGGGAATTGCCAGGCCACACCGGTTACTTGTCTTGCTGCAGATTTTACGATGACAACCAAATCGTCACGAGCTCCGGTGACATGTCCTGGTATGTACATTACTTAAATATGTACAAATTACTATAAAAAATCCTCATAGAATTTCCTTCCCTTACTTCTAAACAACCATGCATCTTACTATGTTTCCTAATTGAAAATAAGAGATCGCAGATATACGTTTATTAACATGTCTCTCGAATGCTTTTTTCACATATAATAAATGAATTTAATCTCAATGAATAATAAGAATATACAGAAATGTTTGATGACAGAAATATAACTTTATGATAAAAATATATATAAATACCCTAAGAACCTCGTCCCTTCGTATTTCTTGTCCCAGATTCCTTTTACCAGATAAATATAATCCCGAAGACTGTTTGGTGCTTCGTACTAGAACGCTAAATTGTTTTGACTCAGTGCTCTATGGGACATTGAGACCGGACAACAGTGCACATCTTTCATCGGGCACACTGGCGACGTGATGTCTTTGTCCCTGGCGCCGGACACGCGTACCTTCGTGTCCGGTGCCTGCGATGCCAGTGCAAAATTGTGGGACATTCGCGAGGGTTCCTGTAAACAAACTTTCCCGGGCCATGAGAGTGACATAAACGCCGTCACGGTAAGACATTTACTCGTGAATGTATCAAATAAGGAAAGAGAGACTCGTTACTTCGTGCCGTTACGACGGCACTACTTAAGTTTACTTCTTAATGTATTCACGATGAAGGAATATTATTTGACCGTGTTTGTCCGTAGTTCTTCCCGAATGGATACGCTTTCGCGACGGGCTCGGACGATGCAACTTGCAGACTCTTCGATATTAGAGCGGACCAGGAACTTGCAATGTACAGTCACGACAATATCATTTGTGGTATCACCAGCGTAGCTTTCAGCAAGAGCGGTAGATTATTGCTGGCGGGCTACGACGACTTCAATTGCAACGTCTGGGATTCAATGAAGACGGAGCGAGCTGGTAAATTTTAGCAGATATTTCTGCGATATTCCTCAGGAGAGAAGAGAGATTTCGTTCGAGGCCCTTCTCTTGATGATGATTTCCTCTCACAAATTTCAATAACACGTTTTAATATCGGATATAGCGTTGCTTTCACTGCTTTACATAAGAGAAAAAATGATAATTTTATTTCCTAGGAATCCTTGCTGGACATGATAATCGTGTGTCTTGTCTCGGCGTTACGGAAGATGGTATGGCGGTAGCGACGGGCTCCTGGGACTCGTTCCTACGCATTTGGAACTAACTTGGGGCTCACCCCAAGACGTTTCTTCAAAGAACCAACTGCAGCCAATCAGCATACAGTATAAGAATCAAGTACCACCATCTAACCACCGAGCAAGTCGGCGTGCCAGCAGCTACGATGCTGACGTATAACCCGCCAGGTTCACCGGAGTTGATGCTGATTAAAAATTTTGAATATCCGATAAGCAGCAGCAGCAGCGGCAGCAGCAGTAGCAACAACAATAATTACGACCGGATGAAGAGCCACGACAGCAATAGCGGCGATTTCAAGAACGTTTTGGGTTGTGGTAAAAGAGACTCCCGCAGGCGCATCGTAGTTGACTTGACCTGGCGACGCGGTAAAGTCGGCGACAAGGACCATGAATATCAACGCTTCTAGAAAAAAAAAATTGGCTGATGGGATCGTATACATCAAGATAACCATGGGTAAGAGGGCGCGCGCCGAAGATACATCGGCGAAAAGCGAAATGCGTGGAGGAACAAGACGCTACAAAGTCGACAGTAAACAACTATGCGGCATGGGCGCGCACTTTCTTTTTCTCCTCCCTCCTTCGTAGATGTATCGTTATTTATTTTGTATAGACCTCTGCCATAGGCCGCTCTGCGTTTGCCTTTTTTTTGCGCGGCCCATTGCCAATCAAAACTTGACACGAGACGCACAGCTTCTGATATAAACGCGGACGAGAGATTCACGTAAATTGAGGAGCAAGTTTACGAACGCGTGTGATGGGCCAGCATCAAGTGTCAAGTACGTTTAATGTAATGTGTAATCGTTTAGTTCGTAGTGTCTATACCCTAATCCCAACCCCTTTCCCCCTCTGTCCGATTATCCCTTATTATGGCATCGGCGAGAAGGAGAAGAATAACAATCTCTGACTGTCGTCTCGGCGAAGTCCCGCATCTCCTCCCACTATCGATTCAGCGCCAACTAGTCCTCGTGCACGAGGCGGGCACGTGCTCTCGACGAGAGTCGTGCTAAAATTTCCTTTGAAATAGGACCCAAAGAATCGCGGGTTGAAGAAAAGGACCGCGAGACTAAACCCTCTTTCTCCCCCTCGTCATACTCTTTTTCTTTCCATATATATAATATATATATTTACACACATACACACGCTCACACACATACACGCGCGCGAGTACGGTGTCCTCCTTTCCTCGTTCCGCTCATGGCGTTTTGTTTGTCACGGCCTCTTTCGTAAACTCGTATTTGTACTTTTTAGCTCTTAAGCTCATCCTATCTCTCTCTCTTCTTTCCGTGCTATCTCACCTGTTTCCCTCCTCTCCTCTCCACCTGTTCTGTCCTTTTTTTGTCGGAAATAGATGTTGAAACTGTGTATGCATTTAAAAATAATAATATTAATGATAATGATTAATATTAATATTAACGATGATTGTAATTTATAATTATTAATATTTAATATATAAGTACCTAAGATTGATGGTTCTTCAATATCGCAGGATTATGGTCCAATCGCCTTCCGGCAACCACGCTCATAGTCGCTAGGTCTATTCCTTTTTTTATTACTTTTTAATTTACGTATCCTCACGCACATGGGACATAGTTAGTCGGGCGTTCTTACTTTTTTAGTTCGAGGGGAAGCGAATACTTCACATTCGATAGGAATCCCGTAAAGGCCCATTTCGTTTTAATCATACGAACCAAAATGCGTGACTTGTATATATGAGATATTACGTATCGTAATAAACATTTCGAAGGATATATCGAGTACTAGCCGACTAAATTCAGAGGAACTGCGCAGAAAAAAGGCGTGGATTCCGGAAAGCGACTATTGAAAAAAGAAAAAAAAATTTCTTTCCCAATGAAACAAAGTATGTAATTTGGCTACGAAGCAAGCGAGCACCAATGGAATCTTCGAAGACTTTCGAGAGACGTTGTATACTTTACGTCAAGTTCCGGAAGATAAGAAAGAAAACTTTCTCGAACACTTAACATTTACAATCGGTTCTTTTTTTATATATTACATATACATATATACATATATATAAATATATAAAACTCTTCGACTAATCTCGCTTACGCGCGTAATGCTTTGTACTTCTTAGCTATCAATCGGGCAAAAGATCTTCCTCCATCTCGCAAGAGGAGGTCCTTGTTCCTTCGATTCTTTGTATTATTAAGGATCCTTCCGAAGTTCGATTCAAAGCCGGACGCTACGTTAAAAAGAGAAAAAGAAGTGAAAAAGTGAGAGACGGAAATGTGATTAAAGCGGCCGCTTTTTTGGTATTATCAACAAAACTTCGAGACGGTGTCCGTGCGAGGACAAGGAACGTTCTCAGAGCAGAGAATTACGAAGGAAGAGGGTTCAATAAGCAAACTAATGGAAACAGATCTGTGCTTTTTGCATTTCGCGATTCCGTGGCTTCCTCGAGAGAGGGGCCTCTCTCTCCTTTTTGTACCTTGAAGCCTGGAGCGATATGATTTTCTTATCCTTGGTACGAATACACAAAAAAGAATTAGTCTGTCGACGACGCAAAATTGACAAGTTATTAAGCCTCTAGTCATAGTGAGAGATGGCACACGCGAAAACGAGAATGAAGAATAGTAGATAAAACTTTGTAAGCAGAAACGTTTCTTATTTTTTTTTTTTAGGATGTCTGCTTGTTCGCGCGAACAAGATTGCGGAAGCTAATTTTATCTCTGATTTGTTTCTTCCTTTTTCGAAAGTATAGCACACGATATAGATTAGTTGCGACGCAGGAGAAAAAATAACGGCGAGAACAGAACTGACGAGATCAGTCCTTTTTTTCTTTTTTGAGCCTTTAAGAGTATAAAGTGAATAAAAGTACTTGGAAAAAAATCAAACGTGGCGTTTCCGTTATTTTTTTTACCGCTTCTTCGCTTTCTGTTCCCTCCCTCTGTAAAACGACACATTTGCCTATTTTATTTTATCGTTTCACTATCCCAACTCTTTCGTTACGTCTTAGTTCGAACATCTTTCCTTTCGCCGAACACATCATTAATTTCACGAGACGAAAAATCCCGTCGAAAAGTGAACGATCCACGGGATCATTGGCGTTGGGTCCTATTTCAATTATGGAATATAATCGTCACTAAAGCGTACATACGTACATGCGATTAAAAAAGGGGGGAAAGGAGGAAAGAAAGAGAAGAAACATGAAGAATGTGCCGACGACATTTTCGTGACTTGTTTTACGATGGACGACGAAAAGCTGTCAGGAATACTGCCTCTTTCAGGTTATGCACAAAAATGGATAATTTACGATATGTAGCATATATATACGTGTATATTATACATAAAACACACTAAATAACGTGCAAACTATTGTTAAAGTTAAAATGAAAAAGAGCGGAAGAGGACGTGGCCATGAGACGATGAAAAACGTGAAGTGAGAAAAGTGCATCGAGGAAGATCAAACGGAAAGAGTAATGCTGGTGAACAAGTAACTGAATGAGAAATGTACATTCACTCAGTAACTGAGAAATTGAGAACACGTCATCATTGTTAAATGGTAGATAGTTACAAAGATTTCATCACTTTTTTATATATAAAAAAAAATATATATATATACGTATATATAAGTAATGATAATTAATCACTATTGAGACGGTTAGCCTATGTCACTCGCCTATAATCATTCGTCATACAAAAGTGAGGGACATTCTTTTCACGAGGCACGATATTCGAAGACGCGATCCTTCCTCCCCTCTCTTCGTGATTCGTTAGATTCTTGGGCTTCTGATAAATCTCGCTGCGGACGAACAATACCGAATTACTTTACCGCGGACAAATAGTTTGTTCGTTAAGCTACGGGACGATCACGAGTTTTACGTTTATTTCGAGCCTCGTGGGTGTTGTCCCTGTCGCGAAAAATTCGTCGTCATTTGCGTCGATGTTAGGAAGAATTGTTTCGAAAGTGATTACAATCCGTTTCGAGTGCGTACGCGGCAAGGAACTCGAAGCTCCAACGATGGATCAGTCGTAGTGTTTGAATCATTAGCGCTGAGTTTTGAAAAATTTTTTTTTTACTGAATACATCTCCCCTTTATATACGTACACGTACATATACATATATCGAGTTATTCCACATTGTGAAAATACTTAAATATTTTATATATAAAGATATATTCTCTCTCCCTTTACGCGATTATATACAAATTATTTCCGTCGCAACGAGCTACGTTTGAGCTACGTTTGAGCTTTCGATATTGCAATCGTTTATCTGAACCTCCGCCGACAAATCTATCAAAGTAAAGCAATGCCCGAAACATTCCACGCGATAGAGAGGAAAGCTTACGCGAGAAATAATCCAGAAATGATTCTTTCGAGCACGGGTCATGCGCTCGCTGCGTTCATTCATTCATCGGATTAGATTGTTCTACGTAGAAAGCAAATTGCGATATAGCCTGTCTATTCAGTAACCGCAATTAAGGACGTACAATTCGTGTACAATTAAGTGTCATGGCATAAGTGCGTGAGTTCACCTCGCGGTGAGTCTTTCTCCTCGGACAGTTCAAAGCAGAGTGAGCCACATTGTCTCGACAATGTGAATCATAGTTGGAATGGAGGGGAGATTCCGTGCGGCTGAAGTTCGTCAAGTTCGCGAAGTTTCATGATGAATCTTTCCGAGCGGACGCTGCTGGAACGCATGGAAACGTCTCAGGCACGTGTGCGAGGACGTTTTCATGAAATCCCCCAAGATCCAAAAAAAGATCTTCCTTCTGTTCAAGCAACGCGCTTTTTAACATCATTCTTTGGATCGCTCGAGTGGAAAGGCTCAGAAAGATACGCGAAACTTGACGAGTTTTCGCCTCTTAGTCATCATCGTCGCAGCAAGAAACTCCCGTGGCGATTCCCAAAATGACGTGCATGAACGCGTCGAATTGCGCTTAACGTGATAGATTCGTTAATTATCATTCATTTCGCGAAACCGCGTGATGACGTGGTGTAGGCACGACGCAGTATTGCTTGCTGCGGGGCGAGAAGCGACGCGGTGAGAAGAATTGGTTTTTTTTCAGTTTAAGGACATACGCGCCCGTGCGTGTTGTATGTCGCAATATCGTAATATTTCTTTCGTAATATCGTATATAAAATTGGCAAAATATCACAATATGCGTACGTAGAATACATACATTCACGCAAATGAAATCTTGTATAAAGTATGCGCGCGAATGTTGCCGCTGGTCTTATAAGATCGGCGCAACGTTCGCCGCGAGGCAAAGGTTGGATCGACTTCAACATTTTCCGCGCAGCGGAAGTACTTGTCTGCTCTTTTCAGAAAAACAAAAGAACAACAGACCGACCGGTTACCGCGTCGCTTCTTCTAGTAGCGAACTCGCAGAGACTGCGACAGTGCTCGAGGGCCGATCGATGGCTTGAATCCCATATGTGTTTAAGATTACGAAGTAATAAAATCTAAATCCACAGATGCGTTTCGACGGAAGCGTCTCGGTAAATTCACGGCAAGTGTGCATGATCGCGAGGAGATCCGTTTTCTTTTGGTCGCGATCGCGAATTCACGGACGTTTACTCCGTAAAGCGGTTGATTACTTTGTACGTAGTACTAATCACTTTTCAAAGTTCCACACTGTGAATTTTTTACACCACTGCGAGTCTGCCGATATTTTTGCCACACGCGTATTCCGTCGAGCGTCTCATTATATTTCATTGTGCGTACGAGTGCGAAGCACCCATTAAGTATGCCCAGAGTGACGTCATCGCGAGCACCGCGTCGAGAAGACGAGCGTACGAGTGCCACGTTTGCATAGTGTTCGATAATAAATACCTTTCGATTTCGATGTCGTATCCTAAATCGTTGTAGTTATCGACGAGTTTTTTTAAATGCTGATGCGTACGTAATTATATCTGAGAGAAAGGGAGAAAGGGACAGAGAGGGAGAGGATGATGTGCGAACAAGCGATGCGAATCCTCGTGAGCGAGTCGCGAGCTTGAAAAAAGAAAAAGGAAACACGAGCTTTCGTTACGTCACGTGCAATACGGTAGCGTAGACTCAATTTTTTCACATCGTCTCTCATCGACGTACGCGAGTCTAGTTACGAGACCGTAATTCCGTATAGGGAGACGGCGTTTTTATGAAAAACTTCGTAATCACACACCGACGTTATGGTTTTGTAAACTTTTCTTTAAACGCGCCTTGAATCGTCTGACAATTTTTACATGATTTTATTGTGAACCTAGTATTACGATGATAATGAAAATATCTGGTGCGTTAGATCTGCAATCATGAAGGAGAAAAACGGGGAACTGACGATCTCTTTCATGCGCTTTCGACTTTCTCACGCTCCTTAACCTCATCCCTGTAACTGACTTATAACGTTAATGTTAACGTAATCCCGTTTAAGGTAAAAAGAAAAGATGAGAAATATTTTGGCAAAGTTTTAATATCACACGCATATGATAAGAGTGACACCTTTCGACCGTTGTGTCGTAACATATCTCTGAACTATAAACAAAGCTCAAAGTTTGCGTAATCTTGCGATTTGAAGCACCGTTGCGCAAAGTATCGCTTTATTACCTTCCCGTTTATTATCTTCAGCTCTCATAATTTTTCGTGACGTACATCACAATGACAATCCTAATTACGAGATAATTGTCGAAGTACAAAGCCTATGAGGATCTGTATTCGCGAGAATGCTTGTTAATCCGCGCTCTTTCAGTTGTTGCACACGATAACGCAGAGTCAAACTCACGACGAAGCTTCGTCCGAACCGGGAACAAAAGTACTGCGCGAGGGAACGGCGAGAGAAGATTTATTTTTATTGTATCTCTCCGAGCATAAGACTGACGCGTTTTTCGGTGTCAAAACGATGACGAAGGAGTGAACTCACGATAAAAGAAAAGACAAAGCGAGAGCGTGACAGGTGCGATAAAGTTCTGTTGCTTCTGCTTCGTGATTGCAAATTAGGGTAACCGGAATTAAGTCTACTACTGTGTCAAGGACAATTGCTTCTTTTATATGCTCTTGAGAAAACGAAGCGAAAAAAGAAGATATAAGAAGCATCCTTTTCCACCTGGAAGGCGCCGTTCGATTTTGATATCGAAGAGACCGTACGACTTTCGACTATGAAAAGTCGGCGGGAAGACTCTCTCAACGAGGAGAATAAAATGACAAAAGAGCGGCGTGTTTCCCAATTTTTTGGAAAGAGAAACTTAGCGTGTAAGATACTTTCTGCAATGTAAAAGTCGACTTAACCGGTCGTAAGTTATTAAGGGCTGTAATGTATCAAATAACCATTAACCGCAACAAAGCAGCAACTGCATCTGCGATGCACCATCTACGATGCGATAGCACGACAAGATAAATCAAGAGAAACGTACGGGGTGTCGCGACGAGACGTCGATCGATGAACGCGTCGAGAATCATACACCTTCGTACATCTCGATCTTCGATTGCCGTGAGATTTGTTCCGATCTTTTAGTTTATCGATCGTTCTCGAGCGACACTTGGTACGTTCTACAGAATAATTTACTATTAGGGAGCAAACGAGTGCGAGTGAACGAGTGCGAGTGAACGAGAGCGAGCGAGAGTGAAAGAAAGAGCGAGAGAGAGAGAGAGAGAGAGAGAGAGAGAGAGAGAGAGAG